ATTCAGCATCTGAAAACTCTATTAATGTAACTTTCACATTCATACATAGCAGGAAAAAACCCATATAATCATTTTAATACATGCCAAAAAAATCTGTACAAAATTTAACAACTCAGAATTTTTTTAAAAAAACTTGAGGAATTCAGGAATAGAAGGGAAATTTCTTAACTGCAATAATGGTTTTCATCAAAATGTTTAGCAGATAACATTTCTAATGGTGAAATTTAGAAGCATTCTCATTAAAGTCAAGTAGAGGACTAGGATACCCACTGACAACTTTAACTATTTCAGTGTTGTTTTATAGTTCCTAGCCAATGCAGTATGACAAGAATAAGACGTGAGATAAAGACTAGAAACAGAAGGGACAAAACTTTAAACTCCACACAATTTTGTTTTGGACTTTTGTTAAGAAAATTATAAATCATTGAAACACATAAAGACCTAACTATATGGTAACATATACCATGTTAATAGTGGAAAGATAAAATGTAAAGGCAAATGCCAGTTCTTTCCAAATTAATCTCTACAATTCAATGTAGTTCTAATCAAAATTCCAAGATTTTTCATGGATCTTAAACTGATTCTAAAATTGAGGTAGGAGAGGAAATATCCAAGAATAGCCAAGACAGTTCTAGAAAAATATATTCCATCTGATATCAAGACTTACTACAAAATTATAGTAGACAGTATGGTTTGATACTGGGCTGGACAAATGGATCAGTGGAACATAATGGAAAGCCCAAAAACGTATCTAGATTGTTGTGAAATTTTAGAATGTGGTAAGGAGGCCCTACAAATCTGCATTCCAGACACTTCTCTAGGCACTGGTAATATATTAGTGAATAAAAATAGGCAATAAAGAATAAATCTTATATTTTAGAGGTGTTAGTGGACATTAAATGTTAAGACAGACAAGTAAATATATAATGTGTCACGTGGTAGTGAGTGCTGTGAAGAAAATTAAAGTACGGTATGAGGTTAAGGATCTACTAGAGATCAGTATGGGTGCTTTTTTAATATAGGGTAGGTCAGGGAAGACCACTCTGGTGAGACAATATTTGAACAGAGACTTGAGAGAAATGAAAGAACAAGCCATATTAGTAGGAAAAATTTATAGTATTCAATCACTGCTTTTGGGATACCTGCCTTTTGATATTGGGGATGGGGAGTTAAAGAATTAGAGCCTACCTTTAGAAAAAAAATAACTCCAAGTTGGTTAAAGACATACATAAAAAGAAAATAGGATCTTGAGAGAGGGAAGGACTTTCAGTGAAGATTTTTTTAAAAGCACAGGAAAAGATTAATAAATTTGATTATAACTATTTGACAAGCAATACCATAAAACAGGTTTAATGACTGGGACCAGATATTTGCCATATGTATTAAAGGAATATTAAGAAGATGTAAAAGCGGGTAAAAGATGTAAGTAGACATGTGTCTCAGAATAGAAAACCAAAATAAACATGAAAAGATACTTTCAACCTTACAAATTGATACAACAGTAAAATAGTATTTTATACCCATCAGATAGGCAAAATATTAATAAGTCTGATAATAAATGTGTGGTGAAGATGTCGGACTATGAGTACTCATACACTGCTGATAGCCATGTAAATAAGTATAGTTATATAAAAAAATAAGTTGGTAAAATCTAATGTGCATTATCTATGACCTAGCAATAACATTTCTAGGTGGTTCTCAAAATGTGGTCCCGTGACCAGTAGTATCAGCATCACTTGGAAACAAGTGGAGTTCAAATTCTCAGGCTCCAGCCCAGACCTCCTGAATCAGAAACTCTGGGGGTGGGGCCCAGCAACATGCTTTAATAAGCACTCCAGGTAACTCTGATGCATGCTGGAGTTTGAGAACCACTATGCTGGAGAAGTACTAGCACATTTGTCTATGGAGAGATAGCAAATGTGCTAGTACTTCTATATATATATAAAATTTACTGAAGCATTTTTTGAAATATCCAAAAATTAGAAATAATCCAACTGCTCTCCAGAAAGGAAATGGACAAATTATGGTATATTCATATATGCTATACCACAGCTAAAATAAATTCACCTGTGTCTTTGGATAAATCTGAGGCATATTGAATGAGAAAAGCAGTTTGTAAAATAAATGCCATTTTATACCATTTATGTAAATCCTTAAAAATGTAAAATATAATGCATTGTTTATATATACATTGAGAAGTAATAGTATAAGAAATGAACTGGACTTGTACCAAATTTTTGATAATAGCTGCCTGTGGGAAAGGAATAAATGAGAACATAGTGGATTAAATTTTATCTATGATGTTTCCTTTTTAAACCAAAAAAGGTGTATAGGGAGAAGGGGAATGAAGAAAAATAAGACAAAATGTTAGTATTTGTTAATTTGGATTGTAAGCATGTAAGTGTTCATAACATTATTCTTTGTATTTCTCTACATTTAAAATATTTTAAAACAAAAATCATACTGTCTATACCAAATATCAAGATTGACTATAAAATTGAGGTAATGAAAACATTGTGCTACTTTCCTTGAAAAAAGACAAGTATTTCAATGCAACAGAATGAAGAGTGAGAAAAAAATTAGACTTCGGTTCTCTTATATGAATTTTTAAACTATAACTTCATGTATTTTCTCCCTTCTAGTCATTATATGTAAAGAAATAGAAGTCAATTATTTGATTGTAATTTTAAAATTTTCTAACATTTATATTCACTTTAAGAATGATTTAAGACTACAGATGGAAGCCCAACGCATTTGCCTCTCTCTGGTGTATTCAACTCATGTGGATCAGGTTCGTGAATATATGGAAAATGAAAAAGATAAAGCTCTTAGCAATCTTAAAGAGGAGCTTATCTCTGCTCAAGAGGAAAAGATCAAGGAACTTCAGAAGATACACCAGTTAGAGCTACAAAATATAAAAACACAAGAAACAGGTAAATAGTTTCTGACTTATAAGTACCATGAAGCCAATAAGTATCAATTAGAGCCCACCATTCCATAATTCTGTCCTTGTCTTAGAACCCATAGAGGAAGATGACTTATATGTCCCAGTCCTGGATCCATTTGCTTATATAATCGCTGGACATTCATTTAAGTGCTTGAGAAAGCCAAAATCACTCATTTTCTCATAGGAAGTCACAGTTTGTTGGGAAAGCATATACAAAATAAACTGACAATTTCTGTAATAGAAAAATGAATAAAAAGAGTGAGAGGAGAAAGGAGCAAAGTCTAGTGCTTTCTGGCATGATGAGTAGGGTGAGGTGTGGGCAGGAGTAGTTGGAATTTTAGGGAAGCCTTGGCATCTAGCATTGAAGTGTAAGTACATCTGTTTTGGAGAATTGAGAGTTCAAGGTGTGTGAGAAAGTAGTCGGGAATAAAGCTGGAGAGATTGGCAAGAGCTTACACAGAAAAAGTTTTGTGTACTTTGAATGAAGTGTATTTAAGCCTTATGCTATTGTGATAAGACCTACTGCAGGAATTTAAATAGCAAGAGTAACATAGTAAGATTTTTATTTTAAAATGACACCATTGGGATGAGTTGGAGAAGGTGAGATTAGTGATGGGAAGACAGTTAAGCAACTTTGGCAGTAATTGCAGTAAACAATACGATGTTGAACTCAGTGTCAATGAGGATGGAAAGGAAAGTTAAGTTAAAGAGGTAGGCTGTAGTCTGCAGGTAATATTAGCAGTAAAAATGAGAGGAGTTGAGAATGATCCCTAATTTTCTAGCTTGGGTAACTGAATTCAGGATTGTTGCAGTCACAAAAAGGACAAGGAGCAGATTTGTGTGAAAGATAATAAATTCAGTTTGGAACATATTGAATAAGAATACCTATTGACTTTGAAAAAGAAATATCCAGTAGGAAGTTGAAAATAGAAATATGAAACTCAGGAGAGAGACAGGTACAAGTGCAAGGTGAAGATTTAGAATTAACATGGAGGTCATCTGAGGCCAAGGACAAGAATGAGACCTGGGAGGCTGTATAGAGTGAGCCAAAAGACTTAAGATGACAATTGTGGGAAGCAACAAGGTCGAAGGGACCGTAAATGAAAGAAAAGGAACCTGTTTATGGACTAGTTGCAGTTAACTTTTATCTTTAATAATTATTTCATCACCTAGTTTACATGGCTTCTTGTTTTCAAGGTATCTCTGGGCTTCTACCTTTGCCTTTGGGAATGAGGTGGTTTGTACAGTTTTTCCAGTGAAATTGCTCTGTTGAACAGAGTAAAAATTCAAGAGTGGCTGGAATAAGAATACCATATTTTTTTCACATCAGGCGGTTTGGGGTTTGAATTTACTAATATTTTAAGCAAGTATTCTTTTTATTAATATCTTCTTCAGATAGTCTATCCAGTGTTTCTCAAACTACAAGTTAATTAATGAGTCCATTGATGGGTGATGAAGTCAGTTTAGTGAGTAATGACCAGCATTTTTTTTTTTAATAAATAAAAGAGTAGAACAGGAAACACTAAAGTACATAGCATGTAGGAAGGGTAAATATTGATTTGTGAAATTTTTAGTTGTTTTACATGGGTGTATATAAGAAATTATGATATGTATTTCTTATGTTGGATTATAGTAAAAAAAAAGTTTGGAAGTTACTGTTTTAAACCATCTTGTAGGATAGAAATTGAAAATCTTACAAATTTTCAGAGACAGTTAACATTGAGTGATGGAAAATAACTTTGAAAGAAAGAATTTAAAACTAATCTTTTTAAGGGAAGCTTTTAGTTGAAACATAGGTTAAATATGATAATAGTATTTAAATAGGTAAATTGAATGTCTTAATGCATTATCTTTTCTATTAGGTGATGAAGCAAAGTCTCTGCAGATGCTCATTGGAAAACTTCAAAATGCAGTGTCTGAAGAATGTTCTAATTTCTCACAGGTAAGATTAGTTAAAAAGTGCTTTTGGACAAGAAGTGCTAAATTTTAAATTGCTACTCATTTGATCAGCTGAATCATCTAAGCTAGTTTTCCCCACTCTCTTACTTCAGAACTGCACTTAGACAGTATTCCTGAGTTTTTAACTTAAAATGAACATTTAAAAATTTCCTGATAATCAGTTTGAAACAAAAGAAATTCAGGTAAATTATCTCACCAGTAGAACAGACACTAATTGTTGACGTTGCCATAGATGGGTTACTTAATTTTTCTATGTCTCAGTTTCTTCATCTGTAAGTTCAATGGTCATGTAATTGACAATATAGTTTAAATTTTAAGCAAATCTCAAGAAATCTCAAAAAATAGCAGCAGTAAACAATTTATTTTTTAAATTTAGAAGTTGTTGATGGTTATTTTTAGT